GGCTGAGCGCTATGACGACATGGCCGCAGCCATGAAGTCGGTGACGGAGCAAGGTGGGGAGCTGTCAAATGAGGAGCGCAACCTTCTCTCAGTTGCCTACAAGAATGTGGTAGGCGCACGCCGTTCATCCTGGCGCGTCATCTCCAGCATCGAGAATAAGACTGAGGGCAATGACAAAAAACAGCAGATGGCACGTGAATACCGGGAGAAGATTGAATCTGAGCTTCAGGAAATCTGCCATGATGTGCTCGTAAGAGTTGCTCATTTCTTTGGTGTTTAAAGACAGTCCAACATAATGTACTTTTGTGTGTGTGTGATTTAACCTGATACAATTTTAAAACTCTGCTGTTTTCAGGGGCTACTGGACAACTTTCTCATTACCAACGCAACTGCTGCTGAAAGCAAGGTGTTCTACCTGAAAATGAAAGGCGATTATTATAGATACCTCTCTGAGGTTGCATCTGGGGATGCCAAGAAGGGTAAGTGAGGACGTGATTTACGTTAGAATTTTGTGCTGTAACACAATGTGCTTAAAGCTGCAATAATAAATATATATATGTATATTTTATTTTTTAATATGTAATCAGTGACTGTTTGCTAACACATCTGCCATTTCAGTAATAATGTGACATATGTCAGTTTGTTCCGCTGCCCCCAAATGGCCAAAAAAAAATCAATTAATCCTGCTTTAAAATGTGCTTTAAAATGTACTGTAAATGATGTTTTTTTTTTTGTTAATCTGTTTCTGCCTAAAGATACAGTGGAAAACTCCCAGCAGGCGTACCAGCAAGCTTTTGAAATTAGCAAGGGAGAGATGCAGCCAACACACCCTATCCGGCTTGGCCTGGCCCTCAACTTCTCAGTCTTCTACTATGAAATCAGAAACAACCCGGACAAGGCCTGCAGCCTGGCTAAGACGGTATGAACTGAAGCCTAATGTTTTTGACATCTTTTACAGGTTAATTGTGTTTTTCAAGAAAAATAGCCAGAATCTTTGGGCACATTTAAGTACTTGCTTATATTAGGAAGGGCATTTTATTCGAGTCAGCACTAAAGGTTGTTTGGTTGTTTTGTCTCTGCCAAACAGTGTTCAGAGGAAATAACAAGCGTAATCTTTTTGTATTTCAGGCATTTGATGAAGCCATCGCTGAACTTGACACTTTGAACGAGGATTCTTACAAAGACAGCACCCTGATCATGCAACTACTAAGGGACAACCTGACTGTGAGTTTTAAGCCACGTGCTGTTCTGCCTCTGATCGATCTTGATGTATTATTCACAGCAAATCATAACATCTTTCTCTTTACTCTGTTCCCAGCTGTGGACATCAGAAAACCAGGCAGATGAGGGAGAGACCGGAGACGGGGAAAACTAATGGAATTGCACTGTTAATCCACCTACACTCTTATCTTAAACACAGACAGCTTATATACATCCCCCTCCACTCCATCAGCTCCTCCCACTTCTGTATGACAAGCAGCCTGAATTGCTCCTGACCAACTAGTTTACCCCTCTCAGTTCACTGTGAGGTGACAGGGTAATTTTCAGTTAGCAGATTCAGTCACTTTGTGGAAACATGTTGTATTGATTAGTGAGTCCATGTTGCTGTTTTTTTTTTTTTTT